AATATTCACCAAGAAATCGATTTTTCACAATTTTTTAAAGTTATCTCAATAAGTATAAAAATGATTAAAAATTGCGATTAATTTCAAAAGTTTATATCTCAAAAACTAAGAATAATTTTTTAAAACGGGCTTCGTCACTAAAAAGTACATACTTTCATTACTAATTAGTGATAATTTTGTAAATATTCACCAAGAAATCGATTTTTCACAATTTTTTAAAGTTATCTCAATAAGTATAAAAATGATTAAAAATTGCGATAGAGTTCAAAAGTTAATATCTCAAAAACTAAAAGTGATTTTTCAAAACGGACTTCATCACTAAAAAGTACATAGTTTAATTAGTAATTAGTGATAATTTTACAAATATTCACCAAGAAATCGATTTTTCACAATTTTTTAAAGTTATCTCAATAAGTATAAAAATGATTAAAAATTGCGATTAATTTCAAAAGTTTATATCTCAAAAACTAAGAATAATTTTTTAAAACGGGCTTCGTCACTAAAAAGTACATACTTTCATTACTAATTAGTGATAATTTTGTAAATATTCACCAAGAAATCGATTTTTCACAATTTTTTAAAGTTATCTCAATAAGTATAAAAATGATTAAAAATTGCGATAGAGTTCAAAAGTTAATATCTCAAAAACTAAAAGTGGTTTTTCAAAACGGACTTTATCACTAAAAAGTAGATACTTTATTTAACGATTGTTGATGATATCATAAATATTTTCCAAGAAATCGATTTTTCACAAATTTATCTCACTAAAATGGAGTTTTACCAAAAAATTCTTTTAACTAAGAGGCGGTGATTTTTTTTCTAGTTCTTAATGTAGGTAAAATTGGACATTGCAGACGTATATATCACTAAGTGACAGAGTGCCAGATAAAGGCTGGCTAGTTTGGTTTGTTTGCAGATGGCGGATGATAGTACGTGCCTCAGCGTGTGTCCACGGTAGATCTCTTTAGTGGACAACCGGTCCATTGTCGACCATGTTATCTGGCCCGCCGTGGTCATTAAAAGGCGAATTTGTCAAAGAGATGGTGCAGCTGCGGCCAATTATCGCCTCAACTTTGAACAAACTTTTTCGACAATCCTCCTAAAATCAAATTAAACTAAAACATTGTTTTTGACGTTTTATTTTTGGATCAACCTTTAGCACATAAGTGTCAGATTAACATCTACCGGGAATGAATGAAGTTATAATTCCGTAATGAAAGAACGCGAATGAAAGGAACCAACGAATGGGTTTCCTTTTATATTGACCTCTTTATGTGTAGGAAGGGTGAAACTTTGGTGTTTTTATTTCGGTTTCTGTGGGCATCTAAAAGACCCACACTAAATCTGACAATGCGAGGTTTCATTTTTATTTTTGTATTTTTTTATGATCCATTTTCTGCACTCTCGTATCCTTTACATTCGTTGAAAAGATCGGAGCTTATCAAAAGGCCATTCAACGCTAATCGCGGATTTAACGCCTCTTTTAATAAAAAAACCTACATAAATCTTTCAAGAAATCTTGGCACATGTGGTTTTCGTCATTTTGGTCGTTCCCTATTGTTTGTGTTTTTAACCTGTGGCCAGTTTTCTCTTCAAGACGACCTTCAAGAAGACTCCGGTGACAAATTGCAAAACGTTATGGTTCCCTTCAATGTTTTCAGGGAAGTTGGTAAGGCGACATGCCTCCGTTGGTTGACCAAAAAACTTCCCCGAAAGACTACCACCCGTCGTCTCAAAATAATTATCGACCTCTGTCTCAAGAATAGAACCACTAATCTTGGGCCCCTCAAACGGTGGATCCGCGAAAGTTCCCTCCTTTTTAAGCATCTAAACCCAACTGTTTAAAACTACAGCTTTAGCGAATTTGATACGCGCACAACAGCCAGAAAAGGACCCGCAAAGAACGTTTAAAAGTGTTAAATGAAACGCACCGTGAAAACTAGTGCTCATTGTGAACGCTTTGGAGGGCAAAAAAAAAAACAAAACCAGTCATCGGATATTTTTGGAGTTAAGTAAGGCATTTGTCACGTCATGTGACTTAGTGGGTGGCTTAAAGAAGAGTCTCCTTTATTTCTGGAACAATAAATTGTTCTTGTTTGTTTGAGGATATTAAGGGAAAATAACGTTCGCTAAAGAGTTCTAATTAGAAGACTTTACCAAGAAAATTCACATGATAAAACATTAATAAGTAATTCTTTATTCTCACCAGTTGACACCACAAAGGTAAACCTAACATACCTGAGTAACAACCCTTTGTGATACGAATTTTGCCCCCTTATAAACTCCCCTCGGCGAATTAACCCCATCGTTCGAGACACAATGCAACTGTTTATAAGATCTTTCAACAGATCCATCGAGAGGGGAAATAGAAACAACCCTTCAGCTACAATCTCACTCTGTGATGATGTTCATTGTCAACGTGTGAATGCCAAATTATTATTAAAAGCAAAAAAAATGTTACAACTTAATGATCATTTAATCATTTCATGTCACAAAGCGTTTTGGAACAAATAAGACTTCTACTAGAGTAGGGTTATGCAAAGATGACGTGAAATTTGTAACGGGACAGGAAAATGACCTCCCGTTGCTGCTAACTGTCACAACCCATTCAAATAATACGCGTAAAGTAAAAATAAAAAATCATTACGAAAAAAGAATAGGAAGTAATTTTTGTGTTAACTAAAATTGATGATGTAAAAATGTTTTTGAAACCCCAAAGGGAATCATTTTTCATCCACACCTAAATAACCGAAACTAAAACGGTAATCCTTTCACAATGTCGTTTTTGCCAGTAAAAGGATTCGATATGGGTGTTTACAACCGATATTTGCAAAACGTTGCGTTATGTCCTTTCGGATAAGGGGAATGAAGATAACCAGGTAGAGAATTCGCTTCTTAAAATGTAAATATCTCGGAAACAAGAACATATTTTTCAAAGGGGACTTTTTCATTGTAAAGTGGATGCTTTAGTTGATGATCGGTCATAATTTTATAAATGTTCCTCAAGAAATCGATTTTTCACAAATTTTTAAATTTGATTCGATAAGTACAAAACTTACCATTAAGTTCATAAGTTAATATCTCAAAAACTAAAAGTGATTTTTCAAAACGGGCTTTATCACTAAAAGGTATACACTTCCATTAGCAATTAGTAACAATTTTACAAATATTCACCAAGAAATCGATTTTTCACAATTTTTTAAAGTTATCTCAATAATTGTAAAAATAATTAAAAATTTGTATAGAGTTCAAAAGTTAATATCTCAAAAACTAAAAGTGATTTTTCAAAATGGACTGTATCACTAAAAAGTACATACTTTTGTTAGTAATTAGTGACAATTTTGCAAATATCCACCAAGAAATCGATTTTTCACAATTCTTTAAAGTTATTTCAATAAGTGTAAAAATGATTAAAAATTGCGATTAAGTTCAAAAGTTAATATCTCAAAAACTAAAAGTGATTTTTCAAAACGGACTTTATCACTAAAAATTACATACTTTAATTAGTAATTAGTGACAATTTTACAAATATCCACCAAGAAATCGATTTTTCACAATTTTTTAAAGTTATCTCAATAAGTGTAAGAATTATTAAAAATTGTGATTAAGTTCAAAAGTTAATATCTCAAAAACTAAAAGTGATTTTTCAAAATGGACTTCATCACTAAAAAGTACATACTTTCATTAGTAATTAGTGACAATTTTACAAATATTCACCAAGAAATCGATTTTTCACAATTTTTTAAAGTTATCTCAATAAGTGTAAAAATGATTAAAAATTGCGATTAAGTTCAAAAGTTAATATCGCAAAAACTAAAAGTGATTTTTCAAAATGGACTTCATCACTAAAAAGTACATACTTTAATTAGTAATTAGTGGCAATGTTACAAATATTCACCAAGAAATCGATTTTTCACAATTTTTTAAAGTTATCTCAATAAGTGTAAAAATAATTCAAAATTGCGATTAAGTTCAAAAGTTAATATCTCAAAAACTAAAAGTGATTTTTCAAAACGGATTGTATCACTAAAAAATACATACTTTAATTAGTAATTAGTGACAATTTTACAAATATTCACCAAGAAATCGATTTTTCACAATTTTTTAAAGTTATCTCAATAAGTGTAAAAATGATTGAAAATTGCGATTAAGTTCAAAAGTTAATATCTCAAAAACTAAAAGTGATTTTTCAAAATGGACTTCATCACTAAAAAGTACATACTTTAATTAGTAATTAGTAACAATTTTACAAATATTCACCAAGAAATCGATTTTTCACAATTTTTTAAAGTTATCTCAATAAGTGTAAAAATGATTAAAAATTTCGATTAAGTTCAAATGTTAATATCTCAAAAACTAAAAGTGATTTTTCAAAATGTACTTCATCACTAAAAAGTACATACTTTAATTAGTAATTAGTGACAATTTTACAAATATTCACCAAGTAATCGATTTTTCACAATTTTTTGACGTTATTTCAATAAGTGATTAAAAATTACGATTAAGTTTAAACATTTATATCTCAAAAACTAAGAATGATTTTTCAAAACGGGCTTCATTACTAAAAAGTACATACTTTCATTATTAATTAGTGACAATTTTGCTAGTATTCATCAAAAAATCGATTTTTCACAATTTTTTGAAGTTATCTCAATAAGTGTTAAGAATTATTAAAAATTGCGATTAAGTTCAAAAGTTTATATCTCATAAACTAAGAATGATTTTTCAAAACGGACTTCATCACTAAAAAGTACATACTTTTATTAGTAATTAGTGACAATTTTACAAATATTCACCAAGAAATCGATTTTTCGCAATTTTTTTTATCTCAATAAGTGTAAAAATGATTAAAAATTGCAAGACTTCAAAACTTAATATCTCAGAAACTAAAACTGAATCTGTATTATGTTTTATTATTATTTAATAATAACACAATAAATAAGTATGGTATTTGTAAAAATTTATTGAAAATACAAGACTAAAAACTGTACAATTTTTGATTATATAATGTACCAAAAAGTATAAGAAAAAAAAAGTGTTAGGTTAAGAAGAACCAATTATAGAAATCGTTTTCTATATCATCTACTTAATTGTTTCCAATAATATCACACATACATGAAGCTTTAGTAAGAACTCCATTGGTAAGATCGATCATCCCTTTGACGAGTTCCTTCAAATCTTTGGCATATTTCGGTTTATCGTAACCTTGCTTTTGAGACTCTCTGTATAATTCGCAAGCTCTGCTATGGAAATGGACGCAATACTCAATTACGGATCGATTAGCATTAACAGCTTCTAATTCGGCCAAAATCGAATCGGTTATATCTTCTTCATCGGCGGAGGAGGAAAACATTTCTTCGTCAATCGGAGGATTCACTCTTGGAGTATTACCATGGCTATCTTCAACATCGAAAGCGACCAATTCCTTAACTCGATCTGCGTAGCGCAAAGTGTTAAGACTATGTTCGCAAGACGCTAATCCTGGGGAAATTAACGCAATCATACAAGTTCGTGAATTCTCCCCAATAAAAGAATCTCGCAAAACTTGAGTTAATTTACTCCCTCGAAATGGACAATGAGCACCTTTTTTCCCTAACGCTCTAATACATTCTTTTAAAGCCAAAAGACTTTTATTTATATCTCCCCCTTCGAGTCTAGTTTGTCGATCAGCTGTGAAAGTATCCGCACCTCTTTCATTTCCAGCTAAATCGATAAGAGAAAATTTCCCAATAACTCTCCGTTTATCATCGCCTTTTCTAATAATTATTTGAAAAACTGCGTGACTCCTAGACGAGTTCGAATTAGCGGAAGTTTGCCCCGAGGTTCTTTCATGACTCCCTTTTTGTATCAAATCGAGAACATCCTCAACTTTACACACCACTTTTTCAGTCAATCCAACAACTTGCACGATTTGACGACCATCCTCGAGGACGCGAAGTCGTTCTTTTTTCGCTAACAAATCAAAAACGAGTTTTCCATAGATTTCGAAAAAACTCGCCGAGACTATGCAATTTAATTTTTTCGCTTTCATTATTTTAAAAACATCGTGCGCTACGAATGCGTAAATCCCATTGTTGAAGTTTTGAAGTTTTCCTTTAAAATCGCCCCCCATCGTATGGGTTTTCCCCGATCCAGTTTGACCATAAGCGAAACACGTTGCCATTCCACCATCGAAAATCGTTTTTACTAATGGTCTTGCGGTGAATTTATAAACGATATAATTCGAGCAATTTTCATCGAAGACGTAATCGAATCGAAAATGTTGGTTTTCTAAGTATTTGGTGAGATCGACTTTTTGTTTTGGTTCGTGAACTATGAGAACGTCTTTGTTTGGGATGCTGATGACGTCGACTTCTTTTCGGTTATTTTCTTTATCGTTCATTGGACGTTTTCTGACACACACTGTTATTTGGTTTTCTATAACTGGGTCGGTGTCTCTTAATGGGTGAAATTCTAATCCTTTTCTGTAGTCGTTAATCATTTGTTGGAATTCCCAATATGGGTTATATTTTTCTTCCTTTATAATCGCATCTTTCATCGCTTTTTCCCCCGCTTGTCTTTGTCTCCTTTCGTCGCGATTCTTTGCGATTAATTCGATTTCTTTTAATTGTTTCGATTTTCGTTTCTCTTCCGTCATGATGGTTTCTTTTTTGTTAAATTTTTTTGGTTTATACGGAGAGGTATTCGGCGAAGTGTTCCTCGATGGTTGTTGGCTCGTGTTTGACGAGTTTGTTTGTCTCGCCGAATTTCTTCGCATGTTTACCTTCGAATCATTATTATTTGAGCTATTGGTCTTGATATTATCTTCTTTTATCCAAGATGTTAAACATTCACGCGAGCTGTTGGAGCTGGTCCGACCTTCGTCTAAAAATTTGGACGTCGTGTTGTGACTGCCTCTTTCAGCCACTACATATGGAAACATATCTCGACGGTTTTTGTCAGGTGTCGTCTTGTTGTCATTGAATTGTCAAGATTTTTTTTATTGTGATTACGCGAAGAATACGTTCTCAAACAATTTTTCAAAAATTAATCAAAACAAACGGTTTTAACCTAAAAATTTTAAAAGTATTCAATTTATCTTGCTTAAAATTGTGACAAAAAAAAGAAACGAATAAATAAAACGTTCTTTACTTACAATCAAATTGAAATTGGTTGAATTGATGACACAAACAATCTTTATGTCTACTAAAACTTCGTTTGAAAGCGTTATTGACCAAACGACTCCCCCTTTTATTACATTTAATAAGGGTAATTATAATAATCGATTAAAAATTTTAATTAATAAAAAAATAAAAAATAATTAATATAACAATTCTTTTTAATCAACAAATTGAATTATTAAAAATTAAAAAAAATAATTTTGAATCTGAACAAACAGCGCCATCTCTTTAAATATACGATAACTTCATTCCAATCTCCATTAAGTTTAACGCTCCTTTAATAGATGGTGCTTCACTTGGGTTGCCTTAAAAGGATGTTAGGTGGCGGTTACTCCCCATAAAGAAAATATAAAAAGGAAAGCCATCATTATACATTGAATGTTGCATACAAAAATAAAAAATAACTACAATAAATTTTGCGAGGTGAAGTTATGGATATTAATTGCAGAAGATTAAATACTACCTATAAAAAGCCAGATACTGCTTGCAGAAGACTAAATGCTGATTGTAAAAGCTTATATACTCATGATAGAAGATAAGGATAATGATACTGCCATAGAATAACTAAATAAAGCCCACAAAAGACTTGATACTGCCCTAAAAGAGTAAATAGTATTAGTAGAAGACAAAATACAACTGATAGAAGTTAAAATTTGAAAAAAAATGATGACGTTTGTTTAAAAAAATCAGACTTTATTTTTGTAAGTTTTAGTGACTAATTACTAATGAAAGTATGTACTTTTTAGTGATTAAGTCCGTTTTGAAAAATCACTTTTAATTTTTGAGATATTAAGTTTTGAACTTAATCGCAATTTTTAATCGTTTTTACAGTTATTGAGATAACTTTAAAAAATTGTGAAAAATCGATTTCTTGGTGAATATTTGTAAAATTGTCACTAATCACTAATTAAAGTATATACTTTTTAGTGATACAGTCCGTTTTTAAAAATCACTTTTAGTTTTTGAGATATTAACTTTTGAACTGTATCGCAATTTTTAATCATTTTTACACTTATTGAGATAACTTTAAAAAATTGTCCAAAATCGATTTCTCGGTAAATATTTGCAAAATTGTCACTAATCACTAATGAAAGTATGTACTTTTTAGTGATGAAGTCCGTTTTGAAAAATCACTTTTAGTTTTTGAGATATAAATGTTTGAACTTAATCGTAATTTTTAATCACTTTTACACTTATTGAGATAACTTTAAAAAATTGTGAAAAATCGATTTTTTGATGAATACTAGCAAAATTGTCACTAATTAATAATGAAAGTATGTACTTTTTAGTAATCAAGTCCGTTTTGAAAAATCATTCTTAGTTTTTGAGATATAAACTTTTGAAATTAATCGCAATTTTTAATCATTTTTACACTTATTGAGATAACTTGACAAAATTATGAAAAATCGATTTCTTGGTGAATATTTGTAAAATTGTCACTAATTACTAATGAAGGTATGTACTTTTTAGTGATGAAGTCCGTTTTGAAAAATCATTCTTAGTTTTTGAGATATTAACTTTTGAACTGTATCGCAATTTTTAATCAGAAGAAGAAAAACAAATTTTATTCTGTACCCACTACATAAAAAAAATAAGAATAACAATAAAAATATCTATATGTATATACAACAAAAATAAAAAAGTTAAGGGGTGAGAATAGGGCTACCGACCAAGGTCTTTCTGCCCGTGATTTTTGTAGTCGGCGGCTTGTTTCAGTCTTCTCTGACGGCCAGGAGTTTTTGGAAGAGAAGAGGTGGGTTGTTGCGAGGGTGGAGTAATCGAGGCGATATAAGCGTGTGTTGCAAGGCGTTGGTAGGAAAATTTAGAATGGATTTATCGGACAAAGATTGAAGACGGGTATGGATAGGGGGTATATCGGTAAGTTGGTATAGCAGATCATTGCTAGGGTTAAAGAGGGGATTACGGGGGTTCCTAATTCGGGTGATGGATCTCAGTGCAGATCTTTCCGCTACTTCCAGGTGGTACTTCGTTCTTCTTGGTGCGTTGCTTAGCAGTATTGATCCATATTCTATGATGGGCCTGCATATGGTCTTGTAGATGTGCGAGGCACATGAGGTAGAGATTCCGCGACCGCTGAACGAGAGAGATTTAAAGTGTTTGGCGCGTGTCTTTACTTTCATCTTCACCTTGGTTGCATGAGTGGAAAACTTAAGCGTTCTGTCAAGTATTATGCCAAGATACTTGCAGGTTGGTGAGACGGAGATTGCCGTTGATTGGATTGTAATTGTGGGAGAGGGAGCGCGGGGTGAGAGGAATGGGACAAAAAATTGTGTTTTTGTGGGATTGAGTAGGATGCGCCATTTTCGGTACCAATTTTCCGTTTCGTTTATGAGCGTCTGCAGCTTACGGACCGAGGAAGTGATATCCCTACTGTGCGAGACCAATGCTGTGTCGTCGGCATAAAGTAGTGCGTATGCAGTGAGGTTAAAGGCGTCTGGGTTGTCGTTGTAAAGATCGTGGCAGAAAAGATTGTATAGAGAGGGAGAGATAGGCGAACCCTGAGGAAGGCCTTGCTGAGCGGAGAAGCTGTGGGAGAAATGATTTTTCAACTTCACGATGGAGGAGCGATTCGACAGGAATTGGTTTATCAGGGTTAGAAGATAGTATGGCGTTTTTAGCTTATCCAGTTTAAATAGCAATCCTTTGTGCCACACGGAGTCAAAGGCCTTTCGGACGTCCAGAAAAACTGCTGCAGATTTCAGTTTTATAAAACGTGCCGCCTGGAAGTTGGAAACCAGAATAGTTAGTGGCTGGGATGTTGATTTGCCGGATTGGAAGCCAAATTGGTAAGGCGGAATTTTCTTTGATACCGCAGCCAGGAGCTTGTTCTTCAAGTGCGTCTCGAAGAGTTTTCCAATTACGGGGAGCAGTGAGATGGGGCGATAGTTGGCTGGATCAGATAGAGAAGAATCCTTCTTGGGAATACAAGTTATAATAGACGTCTTCCAGTCGCGCGGGAAATGCTGAGTCGTAAGGCAAAAGTTAATTATTTTTCTGATAAAGCCATGGATGTTAAGATCTAGACTTCTAAGCAGTTTCCTTGTGATGTTATCATAACCGGGAGCGGTATCTTTTCCCTGTCCAAGAAGAGTAAAATATTCGTCTTCCAACATGAGAGCATCTTCGGGTGTCTCGAACGGTGTCAGAAATGCGGATTCGTACCAATTATCTATAAAGTTTTTATTGTGGGGACAAAACGAAACATCCTCGGTAAAGGTGAATACACCTTCTAGGTAGTCAGCGTGTATGTTGACAATCTCTTCAGGGTTGGAGATTTTTAATCATTTTTACACTTATTGAGATAACTTTAAAAAATTGTCCAAAATCGATTTCTCGGTGAATATTTGCAAAATTGTCACTAGTCACTAATGAAAGTATGTACTTTTTAGTGATGAAGTCCGTTTTAAGAAATCACTTTTAGTTTTTGAGATTTTAACATTTGAAATTAATCGCAATTTTGAATCATTTTTACACTTATTGAGATAACTTTAAAAAATTGTGAAAAATCGATTTCTTGGTGAATATTTGTAAATTTGTCACTAATTACTAATTAAAGTATGTACTTTTTAGTAAGGATGTCCGTTTTGAAAAATTATTCTTAGTTTTTGAAATATAAACTTTTGAAGTTAATCGGAATTTTTAACTATTTTTACACTTACTGAGATAACTTTAAAAAATTGTGAAAAATCGATTTCTTGGTGAATATTTGTAAAATTGTCACTAATCACTAATTAAAGTATATACTTTTTAGTGATACAGTCCGTTTTTAAAAATCACTTTTAGTTTTTGAGATATTAACTTTTGAACTGTATCGCAATTTTTAATCATTTTTACACTTATTGAAATAAATTTAAAAAATTATGAAAAATCGATTTCTCGGTGAATATTTGCAAAATTGTCACTAATTACTAATGAAAGTATGTACTTTTTAGTGATGAAGTCCGTTTTGAAAAATCACTTTTAGTTTTTGAGATTTTAACATTTGAAATTAATCGCAATTTTTAATCATTTTTACACTTATTGAAATAAATTTAAAAAATTATGAAAAATCGATTTCTCGGTGAATATTTGCAAAATTGTCACTAATCACTAATGAAAGTATGTACTTTTTAGTGATGAAGTCCGTTTTGAAAAATCACTTTTAGTTTTTGAGATATTAACATTTGAAATTAATCGCAATTTTTAATCATTTTTACACTTATTGAAATAACTTTAAAAAATTATGAAAAATCGATTTCTTGGTGAATATTTGCAAAATTATCACTAATTACTAATGAAAGTATGTACTTTTTAGTAATGAAGTCCGTTTTGAAAAATCACTTTTAGTTTTTGAGATTTTAACATTTGAAATTAATCGCAATTTTTAATCATTTTTACACTTATTGAAATAACTTTAAAAAATTGTGAAAAATCGATTTCTTGGTGAATATTTGTAAAATTATCACTAATTACTAACGAAAGTATGTACTTTTTAGTAATGAAGTCCGTTTTAAAAAATAACTTTTAATTTTTGAGATATTAACTTTTGAACTCTATCGCAATTTTTAATTATTTTTACAGTTATTGAGGTAACTTTAAAAAATTGTAAAAAATCGATTTCTTGGTGAATATTTGTAAAATTGTCACTAATCACTAATTAAAGTATATACTTTTTAGTGATACAGTCCGTTTTTAAAAATCACTTTTAGTTTTTGAGATATTAACTTTTGAACTGTATCGCAATTTTTAATCATTTTTACACTTATTGAAATAACTTTAAAAAATTATGAAAAATCGATTTCTCGGTGAATATTTGCAAAATTGTCACTAATCACTAATCAAAGTATGTACTTTTTAGTGATGAAGTCCGTTTAGAAAAATCAC